TTAAGTAACTACGTCGTTGTTAGTTAGTTAGTAGTAGTCTATATATATATATATATATATATATATGTGTGTGTGTGTGTGTATGAGGCCATGTCGAGCATATTAAAAATATATATACATAAGCACATATTAATCGATTGTTCACACCGAGTAAAAGGGGCATGCATATGTATTTGCAAGCGGCCTGTGGCTATGGCTATATGACGGCTCAAGTCACCTGAGTTGCTCGATACTGTTGGCCAAACGCCTTAAGCTCACTCGAATCAATCGACCTTGCGCGAGAAAAAACATAAACCACCTCATGCAAACCCGCATACACATACACACTGGCACGTCAAGATATGAAAAAACACGGACATGAGTACACACTGCCGGGGCAACATACATCGAAGCACATCTCTATACACTCACAGGTAACATACCTCGCCAGCAGCCTGTAGCTGCGCCTGTTGGTCGGCAATGATATCCTTGAGGCGGTCTACCATGCGGGAATACTCAGCCACACGGTGCGACGCCATAGTCAACTCACGCGTACGCTCAGCGGCGTCCGCCTGTGCAAAGTCCAGTTCGGTACTTAGGTGCTTCTGCAACTCCTGCTGTTGCGCCTCCATCTCGTCGTTGACCGCAACCAATGTCTGGAGAGATATGGACAATAAGATACACACGCAAAAGCAAATATACGGGATTTAGGGTTATAGGGCTGTAGGATTTTAGGGAAATACAAGGTAAACACGTGCGATTGCAAATGGGTCTAAAGCCAATCCCTTACAGACGTGCATGGACTACAACACATGCTGTCATGCGTTGACTGATGGGATACAAGGCAAATACAAAGATACTTGTGCGATTGGATTTGCATATTGCAGCAGTCTCAGTTGTACGTGCATGTACTACAACACGTGCTGTCATGCACTGACTGATGGGATACAAGGCAAATATAAGGATACTTGTGTGATTGAATGTGCATATTGTAGCAGGCGCAGGTGTACGTGCATGAGCTATAACACGTGCTTGCATTGCATTGTTGACAGCAGCCATAATTTTTTGGTCGATATATGACCGGCACAGTAGTTGTCCGTGAGCATATCGATGGTATATACGCCAGTGATCCTATAAGCACTTCCCACTTGTCTTTCACTGAAGCGTGCCTGTGTGTAGACACCACATATTTTGACACGCAATCAATACATTCTCGATCACAAAATGTTTATCCCACCTTCACGTTCAATATATATATATGTATAAATAAATTTATATGTATATATCATAATGTATACAAAATGAAAATATATATACAGCTATATTCTATATTTTATATTCTATATTCTA